GGGGCATCCCAACGGCGCTACCGATACGACACCTCCACGCCCCGCCACGGCGCCGAGGCTCGAGGCGCACGGACGATAGAGGGAGAGGGAATGACGGCAGGTGTTTTTTCTGTTTGTTTGTATTTATACTACCTTTAGCTGTGGCTTTTGTAGTTGTGTTTGGGGCCCGACCCGTTTGGTTATCTTGGCCTAGCGGTGCAGCCGAAGTCCATGTCGTGAGGGTGTCGCAGGGGCAACAGCACCTGGCTCTGCTGCCGGGCGTGTGGTACACTACTGGAAACCACGACGAGGCATTCCATGACGATATGCTTCCGATTTCACGACTTTCCACACTACAGGAGGAATGGACGTGTACGTGTTTAAAGATTACGATTACGACAAAGCAAACATTTTTCTCCATGTTATTTATTTTCCCTAGCACGACCGTATAGCGTTAGCTTAACAAAATTCATGGCAAACAACACGATCTAGTCACGTTACTAACGAGAAATGCGGCAGCTCTCTCTCCTCTTACCGTATAAGTGTTTGTTCTCGCAGCAGCGCCCCCCCCCCATAGAGGGGATAGCAACAGAGCGAGGGGCGCACGAAAGAACCCAACGAACGAACGAAAGAAAATTCCATTATGTAAACACACTGTACTTGGGGTAACTTTAAGCGCGTCATGTCTGCCTCGTTACCGACCGACGAGTAAGTGCATGCCGCGCGATGGCTCGTGATCGAGGAGGGCGTGATGCATCCCTGCCAGTCACTCTCTCTCTCTCTCTCTCTCTCTCTCTCTCTCTCTCTCTCTCTCTCCCCGTCAGTCGACGCGCTGAACTAAAAGCAGAGTAGGTACGGCACGCTCTTTGCTGCGCTAAACTCTGCACGCTGTTGGTGTGTTGACGGCACCGCCTCAGCCCTCGTCTCTCGTCTCAACAGACGGCACTCACTACAGCCTCCCCCCTGTGCAGCGCTTTTGCAGCGCCGTTTACTTCCAAACGCCGTCTCGTCCGTCCCGCGTCAATATTTGTGAGGGCTTAAGCTGTGTTGCTGCTCTGCTCCGTCTGCTCTCGCGCACGTTTTAGCGTTTTTCTTTCTCAAACAGTTTTACGCGCTTGCTATGGCCGCTGCTCTTGTTGTTAGGTTGGCAAGGCCTCTGCTGTGTAAGTTCGTTTAATAGATCTTTGTGTTGCCGTGGTGTTGGCGGGCCGTATTCTGAAACAGTTTTCATGCGTGAGGGGGTGAGGAGAGAGAGACAGAGAGAGAGAGCGAGAGAGAGAGAGAGCGAGAGAGGGCAGAGTGCAGAGAGGGAACGGTCAGCCCGTCAGTGGTGAATGTCCTTGGCAGTATTTGAACCTGTAACTTTTAGTACCGCACGTGCGGGCGGTGGGCGGATG